TATATATAATTACCTTGGGAATGGGTTGGTTTGCCGCCTGCCGTTTTTGTCTTTTTCTTTTTAATTTTTTTTTTTGTTTGACTTTTCTTTTGAATTATTTAAAGTATAACAATGTGGGTATTAAAAATCCAACTCTATTGAATCTTCAAAACTCCACATCCCAATAAAATATGAACACAACTTTTTCAATTTTCCAGGAATATATTGGAGTTAAACTGGTAATGAAGATGCAATATAACTAATTAATAATAGAAGAATCAAATTTACACGAGGATGAGTTGCAACATGCTGTGAAAATTCCAACAACAGTAAGTTAAAAATCATGTAGAAATAAACAGTCATATGGCAGAAAAAAGAGGGAGAAAGGATTCTAGATGACCTATCCCAAGAAGACAAGTTTACTAACCTTACCACAGCCTTCGTGAGGGCAAACAAAGTGTCTCTCTCCAGTATGAATTAAAAAATGCCTCTTTAATTTTGAACTATCCAAAAATTTCTGTAAAATAAGTCCAGATTTCAATTTACATTGCCAAACTAACAAAAAGAAGAAATAATAAAAGGATCGAGAAAAGCAAATTAATCTAATTCTCTTCATTTATTTCAATTCGAGACTTGCTCAAGAATAAGTGGTATTTTCCTAATTCGAAAGTTCATAGGAATGCTTCAATTAAAACAGCCAGCCAAAAAGCCACTTATCGACATGAAACCAACATGATTCAATTTTATTTATTTATTTTTTTTTTTTTAATTTCTCAAGCATGTAATGGAATAACCAGGACAATTATAACTAACAAAATTTTGTCTAGGATTTCCATAAGACCATAGATCTGACTGCATCTGTACGCTATAGTATGTGATTTAACTGATATACAGTAAATTTCCCATCAGATTAAACAAAATAAATCAACGAAAATGAAGAAAAACAAAGAAAACATCAATCAGACCTGTGCTTGATATGCGAATTGCAATGTAGGCAATACCAGGAAGGGACAATAATCCCTATGGATCAGTCAGGTTCTTTTCCCTTTGTTTGTTGCCAGTTAGAGTGTGTTTGATTGGCATGAAAAATGTTACCTAGAAAAGAAAATGCTTTCCTTGTTTTGAAGAAAACAAAAACCTACATTCCTCCAAAGAAAATGTTTTCCTCAAAAACAAGGAAAACTAGGCATATTTTCAGAAGTTGGAAAATACTTTTCATGGAAAAATGATAATCAAACACTCTAAAAGTTAAAATTCGGGAGGAAAAAGGCCATTTTCCATGGAAAATTCTCCAATCAAACACACCATTAATGTGTGAAAAAAAAAATGTAATACTTCTTAAGACCTCATGGTTATGATCAGATCAGAAGTGCTTTAAGATTATTATTATTATTTTATTTTTTTTCATGAAAAGAACTCATGATTAAAGCATCTGTCCTTATTGTATTATGTCCAGCGATCTCTGCCTATTGACGTGGGGGGTTTTGGTTAACTTGTGCCATTCAATAACTTAAATGGTACTATTCTCAATGGGATACAAGGCACTAAAGAGCTTTTCATTGTTATTCTACCAATTTTCATGGATAAAGTACGTATCACCAAATAAATTGGTCCTGTTTTCTTGAACTGCAGTTTTTGCTGCTATATGGATTCATATGCATGCTTTTAAGCTCTATGGTAGAGTCACTGATAAATGGTGAAGTTTACCTTGCTTATGTGATTAAGGCTTTCATCTCAAAGCTAAAAAGGAGTATACACCCTCAACATTTAACGTACCTTTCCACAATTATCATAATGGCAAACATACTGCCTCTCTCCATGGATGTGAGAATGCTTCCTCAAAGCTCCAGCATCAATAAAAGTCTTTCCACAGCCTTCATAACTTCAAAGGAAAAGAACTTCTGTTGTTGGTTCAGGCTCAGGCTGTACCACTTCTGGCTCTTTTGACTTTTCTTCCAAAGCCTTAAATGTGGCCTCTTACAAATTAGACAAAAGATTTTTTTTAGGTCAAATTTACAACCAGCTCGTACGCAACACAAATTTCCACATAAAATGACAAAACAGTTGAAAAGGGAAATAAAAAGGCATGGTGAGCACAATGAGTTGCTCAAAGCAAAATAAGAAAATCCCTGTTAGAACTGAAGAATCAAACCTATTGCTGTGCACCAAGGCCATATTTTGAAAATATAAGGAAATAAAACAACTTTATGGTATAGACCATCAAATTTCCTCTTTTGGATGCATTCGAAGAAAAGGTATCCTCTTGTGGATAAAGACTATTAGTATTTCGAGCAATAACAATCAATATTTTAAATGAATCAATCACCCTAGTTAACGTCGACCGGTCGCCAAAGTAGGTAATTGTCCAGAACAGCATAAACCACTATGCAAAATAATCCTCGTCTAACACTAAAACGCTTCCATTTATTGATCAATTGAATCATTATCTGCTTTAAATTATCCTTGTGAAAAGCTTTTAAAACTAACCATTGACCCATTTCAAAAGTAAGCACCTTCCACCAGTTGATACAACATCTTGTGGCATCCTAAAACAAAACAAAGCACGTTAATGAACAGGTTGCTAAAACATATGTAGTTTGTTATGAGAAAAAGCTGCAGCTATAACATTGCATAAACAAAAAAAGTTTCAAAGAAGCTTGAAGAGATGTTGCAAAAATAAAAAATAAATACTCGGTCAAAAAATATTGGGCGTTTTTATTCTTTCTTATAAAATAATCAAACTTTAAATGAGAGAAAGCAGTCAAGAAACACTACAACACAGGTCACTTAAAACCACCCACAAACTAATCTTGTACCACACTGCACGTAGACAGCTGGTCTCATATGTTGGTTGCAAACCACCTCATCTAGTCCATTTATCTATTAATTCTAATATGATGTCTTCATGAAACATTAGTTAAGTCCTTCGACGTGACAGGCTTGCATTCATGGTTGTTTTTTCAATAATATGGCTTCGGCCTCCAAGTATATTCAATACCAATTTGTGGTCAATGTTCACAGAATGTCAAGTTAATTATAGTAATCTTAATATATCGAATGAACACATACAAGAGTATCCAGATGATATGAAATTAAGCTATAAATTGGCTCATTTGACACCACAATCACCAGGAATGCTAAACTCCAAGCAACTAGTATCCCTCTTTTTTCCGATCCAGTTCCTCCACCACCGCGAACCCCAGTTAGATTCAGACATACTACACTTTTTAGTTATTAAGAGAACCCAAGTACTTTGGCTGGATTATTCGTAACTGCATATTTACAATACAGGCATAGTGATCGATTGTACCTTTGATTAATTAACATTTCTTTTTTTGATTGACCTCCTCCTTCCTTTAATCCACAGGAGGTCAAATTCTGATTGCTGTGCAAGTGAATGAATCTATAAGAATGGTTTAAAGGCATGGTACAGTGGCAATTTGGAATATTCCATATGGCAATCAGATTTATTTCTTGTCTTTTACCCTTTTGCGACTTCTTGACTCTAAATTTTATGGGGGAGAGACGAGAGTCACTACAAAAAGGTAAATTCTTGACTGCATCATTAAAAGTTTGTCAATTTACGGGATGGCAACCTTTTCTTGTCAGTTAGCAAGACCAAAACAATGAAGAAATTCAGCAATGAGGCAATTTTGCATTGGTTTTAGATCCATCTCCCAGAAACTAACCAAAAATATCAATATCACATAATATACCAAAATAAAAAATAAAATAAAATAAAAAATCAACAATGAATTCAGAAGGCCTAAAGACCAACAAACCAATCCTATGCGCATCAGTAGATAAATATTATCAAAAACCATATATTAGATATCAAGAGACAGTTTTATGCAGAAAAATGTGGAAGAAGAAGAAAATTTTTGGGGATTTTTTTTTTTTTTTTCCTATACCATTGTTTTACCCATTTAACAGCAGGGCTTTCGACTTGGTTATAGGGCGTCTGTCGAACAGATTATGAATGACGTGAGTATCCATTGTTCTCTTTATTCAGATACTGCCATGAATCGTCAAAAATATTTTGGTAATTAGTTTAGGATTATGGTTAAGGTTTAGATGGCTCGAAAATGAAAGAATTTGTAAGAAATTGGGAAGTTCTGAAGAGAGAGAGAGAGTACAAGACAGAGCCGTTGGGGGAGGAGAAAAAATCTGTCCGGTTTAATATGCTGACCGCGGTTCACTTCTTTTTTCTTTTTATTTTTTCAATCTTTAGGTAGTTATGCACTAGAATTTTCTTTTCCTTTCCTTTATAGTTTATTCATTTGCATATGATTTATGGGTGCATTTGATCCCCAATTTTTTGGAGAACTAACTATAACGATTTTTTGGAAAATATGTAATTAACAAATAGAAAAAAATTTAAATTTATGTGTAAAATTATTTTATTGACAAAATATGTAGTTAAAATTTTTAAAGAATGAAAATCAAACATGACATAAAGTTTAATTTCATTGCTCTTATACAAAAATAAGAACTTCTTTATTAAACAATTATATTGAGATGTCTTTTTCACAACTAGATTGAAGCACGAGAGAGAGAGAGTTTTCAACAACAAATTTGGCAGGAATTTCAAAAGAATTAAAAGTTTCTTCAGGGACTAAAAGGCTTCTTTTAAATAAAATGCTTTAAACTCATTTGATATGACTTTTATTTTTACTTCATGTAAAAGAAATTTTGGATGAAGTTATAATTTTTGTTTGGAATCTATTTTTTAAAAGAACCGCCAATTTCAAAAATATTTTTAGAGGAAGTTATATTGAACTAACTTCTTCCAAAATGTATTCTAATTAGAGGAAAAACTTTCATAAAATTAATCAAATGTGTTCAAAAGTAATTTTTAGATTTCAAAAACTCTAGAATTTTCAAAAGTCACACCGAATGAATTATCGAGTTAGAAGATCTTTTAGAGAAAGCTAACTTAAGGTAACCTTCTCAAAAAACTTTTTCTGCAAAAAAGCCTTAGCCAAATGGGCTCCTAGTTATATGTATAGTGTAAGGCGTGATAGCTTCGAACTACAAACTCAATAAAATTAGGAAAAGGATTTTGGTAAAAGAATACAAATGGAAATTTGTGTTGCCATTATTTCAATAATAAAGAAATTCATAAGACTGGTTGCTTAGTTCTTCACTATGTACAAAAGACTTCCAATCTGCTGGTTGCTTTCATATCTGATTATGTCTCTGCTTTGTCTTCCAAGATTTGAAGCAGCAAATGCACGAAGCATTATATACAAGGTAGGTTTAAACCTGAGTCAAAAGGGATAAAATGAGACTAACACTGGAATCAGGTAGGTAAATATTTGCAAATCAAAATGCATAACAGTGTACATAACATACCAGTTGTCCACATCGATCCAATGCTCAGAGTGCCTTTGTGCTTTGCACTTGTTGAAGAGGGAAGAGCAACAAGACTTTCATACTTCAAAGCAAGACGAATGAAGACGGATAGATATCAGAAGCCTCAAAAATTATTATTTTTCTTGTTGTTCGGGGGAAAATGAAAGTTATACGAAGCAGGTAGGGTGAAACAAACCAGATAATTAAGACATGGGAAAAACCACCTTGGATCATATGAACAAAACAAAGATAATAATTCTTCATTATTGAGTGTAAAGCACTTCATTATAATGAAACCAGCAAATATAAAACCTTCCATGCACATCAGAGAGGGGGGAAGTAACCAAAAATGGAAGTTACCATTCAATTCACGACTACGCATTTGAAGTAATCCAAGCCATTTCAATATGGATACGCATCTAAGAGTAAATAATAAGCTATGCAGTAAAACTAAGCTGTCATTTTTCTTGTATAAGAGAACCACAACATCTAAAGCAAGATTTTACATATGTAGGATAAACTCCAAATGAAGAAACCACTTAAAAAGCAAGATTTTAAAACAGATCTTTGAAATATGCTTCCGAATATAAAAGACAGGAATAAAGACAAAAAGAAGATGGCTTACGATAAATAATCTGCAGAAACAAATATTGGAATCCTCCCTAATCCTTCACCTTTCCATTTCTTTCTTTGAGAAGTAATCACTTTGTCTGCTTCTGTGCCTGTTGCAGTCATAACAAACTAGAAAAAGCCACAGTTACCACCAAAGAAAATGCTTCATGCTGTAATCTCTAGGAATCAGGCGTACCATACTGCATAATCTTAATTCTTCTATCAAGTTACATTTAAAATAACTTGAAGACTTGACAAACGGATAGAGAAAATAGTACAAGACAAGCACATAAATAGACAGAGGAATATAGTAGTTACCAATGGATAGAGTATAGCCATAACTCCATAGCTAACAAGGGGAGAGTAAAGGAATATTGCCAGAACACAGGGGCCTCCTGAAAAGATAAAGTATGCGTACTTTCTATCAGAGAAGTATTGAAACTTCCCGAAAAATATGCAATTCCAGTGAATGAACCTATAATGATTGAACATATAATGATTCATTTATTGGGAATAAGGCTTAGTTTTCTTGCTACATAAGCACTCATCGTTTTTCCAACAATGAGTTGTAATATTGTCAATTTGAAAAACTGGTCCAAAGATCAAATTGAATCCACTTAAAATTATAGGACCGGGGGTGAAGCCTATCATAAGATTCTTACCAAAACCAGCAAAAAATGCCCAGTTGGACTCAAAGAAGTCAAGCCTCTTATCCAAACGCAGACCAGAAAAATTCCATTTGTACCTAGAAAATGAGAGAAGTTTCAATGAACATATATCTTGTCCATAGTGCATTCAACATATTAAGAAAAAAATCTCCGACGTCACTACTCACTCAAAACAATAATAAGCATACATCCATGAGAGAAGGAGAAAATTTAATGTCTTCCCAATGTAAGGGATAAATCCAGTAACATATACCTGCATGTATACAAGTAGGTTAATGATTATATAATCCATGCAAGGGTGGAATCAGCAGTTGATCATAAGAAAAGAGTAAACACTAAACATAGTTTTACCTCTAGGAAGAAGAAGCTCAACAGCAGAATTGAGTAGACCTGTTCAGCTATTCCAATCATTACACTGCAAATAAGGATATAGAGCAGATGAATTTTCCATACATATCCTAAAGCCTTATTCAAAAGATATTATGCTAATGGGATAACGCCATACAATATCAATTCAAGACATACCCCTCAAAATCAGTTGCCTTGTCATCCCTGTCAGCTGTATTCTGTTCAGCTGGTAAGTTGTTTTGGCTAGATGATTTCGTCCCCGAGTACCCCTTCTCAATTGCAAAAAAGCCAAATTTTGCAATATCATTATACCTAGATTAAACCATAAAGTCAGATTTAATGATGTACCATGCACTGGATAGAATATAAATTATGGAATCTTTTAGAGGGTATTTGAGCCTCATTTTTATGAAAAAATGAATTTTAGAATGGTAGATTGAAGGAGAATGTGTGGATGAAAAATAAGGAAAAAGTTTAATTTACGTGTAATATAATTTTAATGAATCATGCGTGGTTAAAAAAAAGAGAGAAAAAATGAATTTTGATAAAAATGAGAATCAAACAGGGTTTTAATTGAAAAATGAGTAGACTGAGAAGCAAACAGTGATTCATTAAGAATCTCTATCTTCTCCTTTAGGTGGCAAATCCAAAGCCTTTGGTCAAGACTAGACTAACAACCACATTTTCCAAGTCTTATTTATAGCTCTAGATGAGGACCGGGGAAAAACCTTCATGTGTGCAACATACACCAAAACTAAATTTATTAAGTGCGAGAACCATTATATGTGTTAACATCAATCTTTTACAAATTTGTAGCCAAGGAATTAACAAAAGGAAGTAGGAAACATGTTAAGTGCAACACTTATTGCGCATTTAACATGGAAAGTATGACTAATTGACTATATCAATGGAAATGGGCCACTATCAAGTCATCCAGAAACCAATTTGACTAGAAGTCGCACTTTTAAAGATGATCTAATTAGATACTAGATGGAGACGATTCAGCTCTGGTGTCACAAAGGCTTGCCAAAACCAACTCTTTATTTCTACACCTCCCTATCCCCTCCATATGCACCAATATTCAGCATATACATGTACAATGACAAATAAGTAAATGTGATTCCAAATATGACCGAAACTTAAATTTAGGTAAAGATAGTGTGTCCAAACATATTGGAGTTAATCTAATTTCCTCAGACTTCATGTCCTTTTCTTTACCCTTTTCTATCAATAAATCCAAGGAATTTTAGGTCATCCCATCGAATATTAATGTTTTACTTTTCAAGGCCCGCCAACTACTAAGGATCAGTGAGAGCTGTAAATATCTTTATCCCTGTAAAATACATGAAGAAAAAATGACAACATGCATAAAGTAAGCCCCCATTCAGTGGCTTTTAATTTAATTTACTTTAATTTATTTCTCGTACTCATTTTCAACTATATATTCACACAATATAATATTCTACACATAAACCCAAAAATTTTCTTACTTTTTAACCACACATTCTCCCAAAAAATACTATTGAAAACATAGTTTTTTCAAATTAATGGCCACTAAACAGGTGCTAAACATGTCATGAACATAAAATAAAAATAAAATTCAGGAGAAAGGAAAAGGCAATACCAAATGGTGTTCAAAATAAAGCTGAATATGTACAAAGGGTAGAACCAGAATACCTGTAAACAACGTTCATTGAACTCATTAAAACATTTTAAAAGTCCACATGCAGCAAACTGAAAAATTAAGAGATTCAGCTACATAGATATAACAGATAACCAGATAGAGAAAGAGAAATTTATCAAACAGCGAATATAAAAATCCTTGAGCAGTACAAAATAATATTCAATGGCTGGTTGGGCTGGTCCAACCAATAAAGGGAAGAAAGAAGATTATAGCAGATCTCTAAAAGATAACACCACGGCAGCGTGTGAGCAAATGTTTACTTAATTACTATTACTTATTATGATGCCTTAGCTTTTTTCGCATTTCAGTACTTTTTTGCTTTTATCCTATGTTCCTCCTACCTTACAATTACCCTAGCTCCTTATTGTACGATCATGATAAATTCAATGCAAAAAGAAGTTTCTACTAGGCCACTGCTAATATACAGTCAATGCATACTAGAAAATAAACTAACCCGATTCTCACATGATCCAAACAGTCGACAAATTACTTGACTGTAGAGATCATTAAAATGCATTCAGCACAAATCTGTTTGAGAAAGTCTTAGCATTGTGGGTTTTCTTTCCACAATTGTTAATTATTTATGTGCTATTCAAAGGTAGAATAGTTAATACGATTAGTTAAAGATTTGCATTCGCTTGAAATCTGGATGTCAGAAAACTGTGCTATCAATCCAATGGCTTTGCACAACTTGATTGATCTTCAGACAACAATGAGAATCAAGTAAAATGATACTTTTCTCGATGAAATTATTAACAAACTTATGTTGCACATTTCAGTTCACTCTTCCAAAGCTTAATAGAGCGTGATAAACTATCGTGATGCTGAAAGCTGTACTTACATAGAAGAGTTGAACGAGCCAAAATCGTAAGAAGGAATATAATCTCAAAATACCCCCAATTGAGCATGATTCTTGAGAAGTAATTTGCAGGCATCCATCCGGCAATATCCATTGCAGTGTCGGAATGATAAATGATCTTAGAATAAAGATACTGCACAAAGTTTGATCCTTGTATAATCAAAATCATAAAATACATCCGTTCACTTCTTAGAGAAAATAGTACAAACATACAGATAAAGGGGAGAGGGCAGACCTTCCCAAGAAAAAGAAGCCATTCAAGAGAAAACACTGGCCCATACGGATGGCGAGCTCTTTTGACCTTGAATTGAAGAAGCCCACAAGTAAAATTAACAAACGATTAGAATAAAAATGCAAACTCCAATAAAATTTTATACAAAAAGAAGGTAAAATTTGGGGGAACCTGAAGCAGTAGGTGATGACGCGGTGAAAGCAACAAGCTTCTCTGAAACCCTCAAGCCACAGCAAAGATATCCGCTTTAACTTCGTTGTGAGAGTGCCCATCACAGCCCCTGTGCTTCTTCTATCCATTACAGCTACAGATTCTCTTTAAGAGGAGGAGGATTTCGGGAGGAACAAAATTGGTATCTTTTGCTTTCAAGAATCGGTATACAGGCTGCCCGCTTTCATGCCTCCAATTAAATTTGAATTAATTATTCCGAAGGGATTTCTACTTTTGATTTTTTCTCTTCTCTTGATTGAATCCTTGACTGGTTAGAAATCTAAAAGCAAGACGAGTAATGCTTCTGTAGAACTAGAGGAGTAAACATTCGAACATAAGCAAAATTTTCTTTTTGGAAAAACCTATGATAACACGACACATCTGTGCAAAATTTCTCTTGAGGACCTTCAAAATATGTCCGTGTTTGGTGTATTAAAAATGTTAATAAAAAATTAAGTTATATTAATAATTAATCTGAATTACAGATTTGTAATTTTTGTATTTGATTGCAAGCATCAAATTTGTATAGAAGTAAAATAAATTCTAGATTTATTTGCGTAGAAATTGTCAATTAAATGTGTTCGATTGCCTAGAATTTATTTTCATGCAAATTGTCAATTAAATGTGTTTGATTGATTTAATTTTTAATCTAAAAAATATTATAATTTTCAATTTTTTATTGGTGAGTAGACGAGATAGAGAGTGTGTGGATAAATGAGAGAAAGAATAAGAGAGTAAATTCCTTGAAAAATAAACCCTACTCCTCTTAAAGAAAATATTTTTGATGAAAAAAATGACAATCAAATTGCACAAAAGTAAGAATTTTGGTGACAAACACATTTTTTTCACGAAAAATATTAGCAATCAAATACACCTTAATTAACTTTTATCAAATTATTTGATTTTTTATTATACCAGACTGGGATATCTCTAAAAAATGTAAAATAAAAGATATTATATAAATTGTATGACAAATTTACATAAATTGATAAAAAAAAAAAAATAGTTTTTAATATAACTTGTTAAATTTCAAATATTTCAAAGATAAAATAAGTCAAAATTATAAGGTTCCAAGGGCATATCCAACCTAAACACCAAATTCCAATTTTCACTATTTTTTACCAAATATACCGCTTCAATCCAACACTAAATCTTACATCATTTTGTACTAAAATGGTGGTCATCTCGAATCCTACACTAAACTTTTCACTATCTTGCACCAAACCACAAATCATTTCCAATTATTATACCAAAACTTACACCAGATAAACAGTATTTAATTATTTTCTTGTCTTTCTTTATTCTAAGTTATTTATTAATTTGAAAAATGTATTTATTTATTTTACAAATACATAAATTACTAAATAAATAATTATGTTAAATTAATAAAAATATTAATTTCATTAATAAATATAGAAAACATAGTACAATTAATAGAAACACTAAATAATCATATTTGTTGTATTAATTTTTTTTTTGCATTCTTATTTTAATTAATTCATTAATTATTATTTCTTACATTTAAAAGTTATTTAATTTTAAATGCAAATAATAATAATAATTATAATTATCGTACTAAGAATAATGAAAATTATTACATTAAAAAATATATAACACAAGTAAGTCAAATGCCCTTTATTAATCACTTTGACAAATGGAAAAAATCGGCGAATATGACTTTGCACCATTTTGGTATAAATGGTAGTGCAAACTTTGGTGCCACAATGGAGTGCTTTTGCATTATTGAAATTTGGTGTTTTGGTGCCACTATTGAAAATAGCCCGAATAGTGTTGCACCAAATATAATACAATATTATTCACTTGCACCATTTTATACCAAATTTGATAAAAGTCCATTTCGCCTTTTTTCATGTATGACCGAGTAATATTAAGGGCATTTGTATCATTTTACATTATTCATAAATATTGATTCATAATTAAGTGGTTAATTATTATTATTATCATTGTTGTTGTTGTTGTTATTATTATTATTATTATTATTATTTGTAATAAAATTTAATCGTGTAATCAATAATTAAACATTTGTGGGATTAATCTATGAATTCTGATAATTAAATTATGACACTAGGTCGACTTCGCCATATCATAATTTCGAGATTTAAAATGTCATACGTTGCTTTCAATAACATGATTTAATATTTTCTTAGTTGTGGTATTTATATTAATTGAACTTTTAAAATATATTAAATAATTTCTATTTTTGTAAACGAAATGTAATTATGTATATAGTAATTTATGTATTAGTAAATCAAATAAATGCATAATTTTTCAGCTATATAAGTTGTTAAGAATAAAATAAATGAAGAAAATGATTAAACACCATTCATTTGGTGCAACTTTTGGTGTAATGGGTTGTGGATGATTTTTAGTTTGATGCAAGATTTGATGCAAAATGGTGTAAATTTGTTGTGGGATTAGAGATGGTTTAACGTAGCATTCTTTCTAGCTAATTGTTTCAAAAATCAATGTACTTTGAATCGTTCAACGAAAGCATCACCTATCGTCAAAATGCGTCTTACATAAATTGATAATATATATATATATATATATATATTAAAAATAACAAAAATTTACATTACACTATCAAAATTGTAATATTCTAACACTATCGTATTTGAGATTGTACCACAGAGAGATCACTCAACTTTAAAATACTTATCAATCATCTTTGAACTTTCAAAAGTTACTCTCCATCAGTCAAAACTCACACTTCTGTTCGTTGCACTAGATGGAACTTCATACGTGAATGATGCAATTACCATGTGGCAACATTTTTGGTCTAATTCTATTAAAGTTTGAGGAACCACTTGATGTGTCAAAAATCCTATTGATATGGCGAAATTGTCGCCTCTAAAAAACATGTTTTTTTCTCCCAACAAGAACAGAGAACATTTTAACAAAGTGTAGTGATAGTTCAGCAAGGTTCACATGTTGCGACCCAAAGTTCAGTTATTTTGTGTACAATTAACAAAATTCCTTAATGAATTTACCAAAAATGATCTAAACTTTTTTTTTTTTTTTTTTTTTTTTTTTTTTAATGCGGGAAACTTTATTTTTATTTTATTTTAGATATATTTATCAAATGATTTTTTTAATTTTTTTAATTAGTTAAATTGATATTGGGTTAAGTCAAGATTGAGAATTGTGCCAAAAAATAAAAAATAAAAAAAAATAGGAGTGGGGTTTGGGAGTGGGGTTCAGCTTATGGAGAGATAATATTTGAATGTATTTTGCACAAATTTATTAACAATTTCAACCTAAATATTACATATTGTAGGGGATCTTGGTTTCATCTTACAACCTAAATGTATTCAAAATTCAGTGGCAAAACATAAATATGAACAAGGGAATCTTGGTTTCATCTTATATATATTTTTTGAAAATAAATAGGTTGAACGGCTAGAGTTTAATTAATAATATTTTTTTTTCCGTTAATCATGACCTATATTTTTAATATTCTTTTTGTATGTACATAGTGATAATCTCCTTGTATCTGTGAAAATTTGAGAGAAATTCTATCCAAAATTTTAAGAACCAATTGCTGATAATTATTACACACAAAAAAAAAAAATGGGAGAGAGAGAGAGAAGGATGGTTGTGTTTCAAATCATGCATATGACCACTGCATTCTGTCACCAAAAAACAAAAAGAAAATAAAATAATAATTTAATTATTCTAATTAATAATAAGTAGTTTAAATTACGAATAATGTTACTTATACATAAGAAATTACACAACGATTTACAAACAAATGAGATATCAAAAACAAAGTGAAGAAGTTTTTTTTCCCCTTTTCCTATTTGGTTATGATATATATAATCATATCTCATAACATCATATATATGTAAACTAGTATGCAAATCACTATATACACGTAGCACAATCGTAAAATTGTAGACTTGTGAATGTGAGAAGACTAGTGAAGTAAATAGGGTTGTCAAATGTGGTTTGGGCTAAATTTTAAGTGTTTGAAATTTCCGGATCAGATCGGTCTACAAACATACTATTATTGTGGTTCGGCCAATCCAACTTGTTCTTTTGTAATTTTTTATTTATTTATTTTATTTTATTTTTTGGGGCGGGGCGCGAGGGGGTGGTTGGAATTTAATTCAATTTAAGGCCCCGTTTGGTAGGGATTTTGAAAATTGATTTTTTGACCGTTAGAAGAAAAGTGGGGTCCACATGTGAGAGAAGAAGTCAAAAATTACGGCTTGAATAGTAAAATAACGGTCAAAAAATCAATTTTTTTGGGTAAAAAACCCTACCAAACGGGGCCTAAGTTTAGTCATAACTAAAAGTGAATATTATGTGAAATTAGAAGAAAATAAATATTTTCAAACAAGATAAATAAGTATATATACCCAAAAATCCAATCATTTCCCTACTATATAAAAAGGGGAATGTGAGGGCACTGTAGAAAGTAACAGTGTCTTGATCCATCTTTACTGTAGCATTTTTGTTTTTTTTTTCAATTAGGGGCCAAAAACGACGTCATTTGCTTGATATATATTTTATTTTATTATACACTGCCTTCAAATTTACTGCAACATGCAATTTCCATTCCTCCCCCACTCCGATATAGATATATATAATAGGGATATAAGAAAAAAATCGCTTTTATAAAAAAAAAAAAGATCGAGATAATATGCGATAGAAATTTTTTTACAACATATTACTTGCAAATAAAAAATTTGAAGAGAAAATAATTAAAGAGATTTTTAAATTGAAAAAAAAAATTATAACGTAAAACTAAAAAATAAATAAATTAATTAAATATCTCTGTACACGAACCAAAAGCCTCCGTGCACGGAGACATTAGTCTCCATGCACGGAGACAGTGTCTCCGTGCACGAAGGAAACAAAAAAAAAAAAGAAAAAGAAAAAGGAAGGACCGTGCATGGAGAGAGAGATTTTTTTTTTACTTATGTTTTTTGGTTCATTTTCAAGATCATTACGGGATATCAAACGAAGTCGAAATATTACATTCTTAATATCGTTTTGAAGTACTCGCGGCATAGTATTGTACGTCGTTAATGGTACGTGAAACGATCAATCGTAGCAAATGTTATGGGACGTCAAAGTAGACATTTTCAAACTATATTTCGAAATTTTCGATAACAAGCCAACTTTAAAAAATTCATCGACGATTGTACGATAGTCCAATCGATAAATGTTTTACATTCTCTCGAAACTCATTTTGAGAACTATATCGTAAAGATATCGAATGATCTAAATAGATATCAAAAATAGTTAAACGGACATTAAATGTATGTGTTAAAAAATACGCATAAGTCATTTTTCTTAAAAAAAGTAATTATTTTATTACTATTTCGAAATTTTTGATAAAAAGCTAATTTTAAAAATTCATCGACGATTGTACGATAA